TAGTAGTAGTAGAAGTAGGAGTAGTGTGGACTGCGACCAGCACTGGGAAGATACGTACGAGAACTAGACGTTGCAGAAGGCTAGCCCGGCTCCACCGCCGCTGCCACCGCCAGGATCTTGGATTCGCGAGTGGCCAGGAACCCACGGACATGAAGCGGGCACATTTGGCAAGTGGAGCAGGCGCGCGTGCTTGAGAGTCTGCGAAGCATACTTTGCAAGAAGAAGCACCAACTTCAGCAATTAGTTCTAAACATTGCCTATATCAGAATTGAAGTTGAAGTTGCTATTCTTCTGGTACTGCTACTGCTGAAAAGATAATAGTAACGAGCACCGACACTGACAGCTGCTACCACAGCTGCTACTGCTCCCTGCCATGTCTAGCAGCACCAGAACTAGTACTACAGTTACACCGGCATGTCCAGCAGCAGCAGCAGCAGCAGCAGTCAGCAGCCAGCAGCCACAGCGCCAGCAACAGGTCTGCCGGACGACGATAGCAGCATGGGTGCCGTGTTTTCGCACCACCGCTACACTGAACAAGCGTTTTGTCGTCACACTGTTATGTACTGCTGTCGACAGCCGACAACACCAGCAATACTCATAATGCTTGAAATCAGGATGTCAGCCAGGATGGCACTCCATATCAAAATGAAGAAGAACGACACCGATCCAGCCACATCCAGGGATTACAGTAAAAGCGCCGAAATTAGCATTAACATGCATGAACAGCAAAATGCATCATGACCAGTGATGATGTGTCCGGTGCCAGTGTAGCATCGTGACCAATGGCTTGACATTCACAGCGAGGAAGGCTCCTCCACAATGTCAAGGACAGCAATCCATGAAGCAACGTCGGCGTCAGTGTAGGAAGTGTGCAACCATCACTTTTAGTTTTGACCCAAGTTGAAAGAATTGTGCTGAACACAATCTGTTGCCGCATCTTTGCACGGCTGTCTAGTCTAGTTTCCCTGACCAGCTGGAAGCTCTGCTGACACTGGTGGCGTTGGTCTGCACACCACATCCGCATCAAGCAACAACAATGTCGACATGCAAAAGGAGACGAGCAGTCACTCAGTACGTGAATTTCATCCTGCTGGACAACATCTTGTCGGGACGCTAATGGATCAATGTCCATAGTCTGATGGACAATGCAATGCAAAGGCCCTGCAGCTGTGTGGAGCACGTGAGAAGGAATTTTGAGTGGGCGAGGCAGAGACATTCTCATCATGCCACAAGGAACGTGTGCTGCTACCAATATTGAGTTCACATTCTGTGCGCGAAAAGCAACCCTCTCTACGCATACTGTGCAGGAAACATGGCCGGACTCAACTACTACAAGGCCAACCTGGCTTCCTTCGTTGGCAGCCTCCACTACAAAGTTGCTTTCAATGCTTCGCTGCTGCAGGCTTCCTTCCACAACTACGTCATCTTCACACCCAGCAAGGAAGACCTGCTAGCGGCCGGCTTTAGCGGAAGCATTTACTCCTTTCATTCTGGCCGTGACAAGGCCAGCGCGAGTGTACGTTTCTCTCTCTCTCTCTCTGTCTGCCTGTTTGTCTGTCTGTCCGTCGGTCTCTCCTGTCGTCTGCTGTCTGTTCCCGCATGTGAATCTCTGAATGACCATGTGTAAATGACAATGGATGTCTTCTGCATAGACGCACATAGTGACACAGTGCAACCTTTTCAGATCTTATGGCACATCCCACCACACTTGTTTTGTGTATTTATGTTGTATAACTTGGATGAATACGCATAGGCACACAGTCGGCATAGGCATCAACTTGTAGCTCGTCACCAAGGTGAATCCAAACAAAGCTGAGGAGAAGCTGCGCCTGAAAAGATGGGTACTGGCGAGATGCAAAGAGGCTAGCGGTTGGGCAAGCTTAGCCACTTTTTGGGCAGCCAACCGCAGTGAACCCCACGTGGACCCCTAAGGATGTGATTTCGCGAACACGGCCTGCAATAATGTAGATTGTGCAGACTGGATGGCGAAGGTCGGTATTCCTGTGGATGAGACCCTCAGCAATGGTGGCTTCGTTGAGGAGCCCAACGACGTGATGGCATGATCCTCAGAGCTTCCCGAGCAGCGGGTGCGTAGCCACTCGTAAACTGTTTCAAACCAGTTTCAAACCTTTCGGCAGACAAGCCCTGACTGGCCCGCAGGCTTTCGATTTCTCCGAAATATGGAAATGCAAGAAGAACTTTGCCTTCAACTTGCCTCCCATCGGGTATGACACTGAGGCCGCAACCGCACCTACACAAGTCATCATCGACTCAGCCAAGCCAAAGATTAGCTGGATGGACTGCGCGCCTCCGCAGGTGCATGGGCCCTGGACAGGAAAGTCTTTGGTGCCACCGATAGGCTTGGTTGGAGATGCAGTGCCTGGGCATTGCAGATTCAATAGGCTTGAACAGGATCAAAGGATCTTGCTAGTTTCACCAGAAGGTCCGCGAGTTTAGAACGGTGGGAGAGGGGAGGAGAGTGGTGCTTGCCCAGCGCTTTTCATGTGATTGCTTCTCGCTAGCCAATTCAGTCTGGTCCTCACCTAGACCGTTAGACCCTTGTGTTGTTTTCTTTGCTGTCCCTGGACTGACGAGGAAGAAAAAGGCCCTACATGTGCAAGCAAAGGTGACGGAGCCATTTTGGATCGCCGGAGTGGGCTTGCAGCGGGGTTGGCACCTCGTCGGGGGCATTGCCTGGGCATATCTTGTTCCAGCATCGGCAGACTGAATCGTTTGAACTCAAGCTGTGGCTGCGTTGCCCAGGAACGGCGTGATGGATGCATGCTTCTTAATCGACAACCTGTACAACATGAGCTTTTCTGGTGGGCCAGATGCTGCAGATACCATGTCCTGGAATGAGCATGTGCCGCAGCTCGAGATCTGAAGTTTGCAGATTTATGCGGTTTACCGTTCCCGCCCTTCGCTTTCCAGATGTCAGGTTCAGAAGTTACAGAGCATCATCCCAGTCCTCTACGACTGCAGCCATGATGGCAAAATGACCAGGGAAGGTGCTGCCTGCCACGTGGGTTCTGGACTTGTCTTAATTGTACAGTGTAGGGTTCCTCTGTGTTTCTTAGGTCTTAGGCAGCCAGTGCCAACTCCTTGGATCTCCTCGGGAGGCTTGCAGGGAGAATATGCTGACCAGGGAGTCGTCATGACGCAGCTGAACAAACAGCCGGCGGCTCAGCGTGACTGCACTGCAAAGTGCACCCTGCCGCCTTGTGGTTGCAACGTGCAGCCGTCCAGGCAAAAGGACTCAGAGAAGCCCCAGTGGCAGCTGCAAGTGAACCCCTGGACGCGCTACGAGCAGTTCTCAAAGCAGTTGGAGGAAAAATACAAAGGTGCTCCTGATGATGTTAGACTGGCAGCACATGGCAGTGGAAATCGCTAAGCTTCCCAGTGCAGGTGCACGTGTTCTGGAGAATATGCATCCTACAGTGCGGCGAGCTTTGGCCATCAGGCTTTGTGCTTCCTTGTGTAGCGGTGGTCTTTGTTGGACTGTGAATCTGTGAACATGGCATGCCGGCTAGGAAGCACCCGAACGACAGCGAGGTTTTCAGCGCCAAAAAGCTAAAGTCCATCAACGGAAAGAGCATTGCACAGGCGCTTGAGAGCTTCGCAGGCAGCAGCAGCTTCATTGTGACGCAATGCTTGAGGCAGACCCAGCAGATCAAGTTCTTCACCCGGGGCGACGCTGGATTGAAGGAGGTGTTTCACTGGGCCCACCTCAGCTACATGTTCATATTGTGTGTCATTTCCGGCGGGTGACCGTTTCGAATGAATGTGAGGAAAATCGTCTGGGGATGCTCAGTTGCAGCCTATGCCGGCAGAGAGAACATCCATACCGGAAACAGAAGTGGATGCTTGCATGCACTGATCAAGGAGTGTATCAGTCCCAGTCCCAATTCTGCCTGATACCGTTGCTGACAGCTTTGACTTGCGAGGCGAGGCGTGCATCCACAAAGTCCGAGAATCTGCACAACATGCTAGCAAAGCAAATCGATCGGCTCTCAGGTTGAGTCGATAGAACACTCGACCAGCAAGGGGCAAGCTCTCGCCACTGAGGACCTTCACGTTCAAAGCACAGCTTCCAACAGCACAAGAGGCTTTGATGACGAACGGTGGAAGCCCTTGTCCCCGAAGGCAACGTCCGAACCTCCTGCTTGAGAGACTTCCTGGGCTCTGCTCTTGTTGCAGCGCCGCTTCCGCTTTCAGGCGACCGGCTTTGCCGAGATGGCTGAGAAGCAGTGGGATATACTTACAGTGCCTCGTCTGCCAACTACTTTGTACGCATCGGACAGTTCTTTTGGAATTCACGAAAGCTCGCGTAGCAGAGCTTGAGTTTAGTCTTGCTTTTAGCAGGGAGGCAGTCCAGGGCCGCAAACCAGCGTATTATTGATAGTATCAATTTAGGGGGGGAGGGGGGGGGGGGG